CTCCCACCCAAAAAAAGCCCAGGCCCATATGGTTTCAGTGCAGAATTCTACCAGAAATTCAAAGAAGAGCTAATTCCAATACTCCTCAAAGTATTCCACACAATAGAAGCAGGAGGCTCACTGCCAAACTCTTTTTACTAGGCTACAATTACCTTGATACCCAAGCCACACAAACACACAACTAAGAGAGAGAACTATAGACAAATTTCCCTCGATGCAAAAATACTCAATAAAATATTAGCAAATCGGATTCAAGAACACATCAGAAAAATCATCCACCATGATCAAGTAGGCTTCATCCCAGGAATGCAGGGATGGTCCAACATTAGAAAAATCTATCAATGTAACCCACCATATAAACAAACTGGGAAAGAAAAACCACATGATCATCTCACTAGATGCTGAAAAAGCCTTTGACAAAATCCAGCACCCCTTCATGATAAAGGTCCTAGAGAGATCAGGGATAACAGGAACATACCTGAACATAATAAAAGCAATATATAGTAAACCAACAGCCAACATCAAACTAAATGGAGAGAAGCTCAACGCAATTCCTCTAAAATCAGGAACAAGACAAGGCTGTCCACTCTCTCCATATCTCTTCAATATTGTACTTGAAGTTCTAGCTAGAGCAATAAGACAACAAAGGGAAATCAAGGGGATACAAATTGGAAAGGAAGAAGTCGAACTTTCACTATTTACAGACAATATGATAGTCTATGTAAGCGACCCAAATAATTCTACCAGGAAACTCCTACAGCTGATTAAACACCTTCAGCAAAGTGCCAAGATACAAATTAACTTAAAAAAATCAGCAGCCCTATCATATATAGGCAATAAAGGGGATGAGAAAGAAATCAGAGAAACATTACTCTTTACAATAGCTACAAATACCATAAAATATCTTGGGGTAACTCTAACCAAACAGGTGAAAGACCTGTATAATAAGAACTTTGAGTCTTTAAAGAAAGAAATTAAAAAAGATACCAGAAAATGGAAAGATCTCCCATGCTCTTGGATAGGTAGGATCAATGTAGTAAAAATGGCAATCTTACCAAAAGCAATCTACAGATTCAATGCAATCCCTATCAAAATACCAGCACAATTTTTCACCGACCTCTAAAGGACAATCCTCAACTTTATATGGAAAAACAGAAGACCCAGGATAGCCAAGGCAACCCTATACAATAAAGGTACTTCCGGAGGCATCATCATCCCTGACTTCAAGCTCTATTATAGAGCTATAGTCCTGAAAACAGCTTGGTATTGGCACAAAAACAGACAGGTGCCAATTTGAAATCTAATCAAAGACCCTGATACCAACCCACACATCTTTGACCACCTGATCTCTGACAAAGAAGCTAAAACTATACAATGGGGGGGGGGGAAGCATCTTCAACAAATGGTGCTGGAGTAACTGGATGCTGGCATGTAAAAAACAACAGATAGATCCATATCTATCACCACACACAAAACCTAAGTCTAAATGGATCAGAGACCTCAACATCAATCCAGCCACGCTGAATCTCTCAGAGGAGAAAGTGGGAAGTACCCTTGAATGAATTGGTACAGGAGACCGCTTCCTGAACATAACACCAGTAGCACAGATACTGAGATCGACAATTAATGAGATTATTTAAATCTTATTCAATATAATTTTGATCTATGATTTCCTTGCATTGTAATCAAGGTTCAATTATTACAGTTTATCTAGAATCAAAGGCCTTGTCACTGATAAATCTTCGGGTCACTATTCCCTTGAGAGGAACTTCTTCTACTTCCTGTCACAGAACTGAGAGTTCCTGGTGCCTCCTCTTCAACAAATTCAGTTGTTTAATTATCTTTTGTTTTTATGAACTGTTTCCATACTTATCTACAAACTGTGATATGCTTACATGAGTTGATTTCTGTGGTCAGAACCAGAGAAATCCTAACTGATAGTATTTAGCGTCTTCTTGTGCACAGTGAAGAGTGGCAAAGAAGAAGGGGTATTATTTGTTCCTCTCTGAGGTTTGGGGTGGTTAACCAAGTGCTGATTGTATACAATCAGAGGGACACAAAACAGGTTTGGGAAGGAAGTCGATTAAGCTTAGCTGGGAACATGTTGAGTGTGACCCGCAGTAGGACTTCTAGTTAGAGGTGTCCATGAGACTAGAGAGAGAAGTCATTTAGTAAAGACGAAAGAATGGGGAATGCAAAGAAGGTATGTGTGGTGGTTTGCATCTGATACCTAAGAAATACTAATTTCTTTTCTCATGTTGGAAATTAAACCCAAGATATACACAGGCTAAGTGTATGATTTATCACTGAATTATAGTCCTAGGTCCCCAAATAGTAATTTTAAAGGAGTGACAGAAAGAGAAAACATCAAAGGCCATTGTTGGTCAGGTTTCAATTCCTGTGCCAAACACGTTCGATAAGTCAACTGGAAGAGGAAAGTTGATTTTTGGTAAGTTTCAGAGGATTCAGGCAATGGTCAGTTGGCTCTGTTGTTTTCTGGCTTATGGTGAGACAGGACATTATGGTTGGGAACATGGAGCAGAGGGGACTGCTTATACCAATGTGGCAGAGAAGTTGAGTGTGAAAGGAAGGGGCAGAATTCCCAGGATCTTCTTTGAGATAATGTGCCCAGTGAAGTAAGACCTCCCACTAAGACCTGATCCTTGAAGGTTTCTGTTCTAATAGTGCCAAGATGAAAGTGAGTCTTTCACTGGCCTTTAGTGAGGGTGCCATTCTAAATGTGCACCACAGCAGTGGCTGACACGTGGGGAAGGACCAGAAAATGCCGTAAGAGATCATCAGACCAGAGGTTAGAAAAAGATCATATCAAATGGTTCAGATAAGACTGGGACTAAAAAGCATCCACAAGGGGTGGATGAAGATGTAGCTCAGTGGTAGATGGCTTGCCTAGTGTGTGTGAGCCCTGGAGCTGATCTCCTGTACAGTGAACAGAACGCTTCCCACCAGACTTTGCAATTTTCCCCCCCTCAAGTGATTAGTTTTATGGGAGAACAGCAGGCTGAGGGAATAACAAGAGTCTAGCTTCACTATGAGAAGGGAAGCAGGAGTGAGCACCAGGCTGTGTTTCAAAGGGTAGACAGATCAGGGTAAGGACAACCAGGAAGACGCAGAGCTCTGGGACAAAGTGCTTCTGGGTGACCTGAAGGTGTTCTTAACATAGCCAGGCAGAGATATGCGGAAGATTAACCTCCAGTGTGTGTGTGTTCTTTCTTTAAATTGATTTGCCTGAGATTACTTTTAAGGATTTTACAATGATCCTTCTCCAGCTTTACAACGGCAAACCATACCTCGCTGCTGTCTAACTATGAGCCATTGATTTCTATAATGAAAACCATGAGACTATAATCAAAGGGACAATTAGATGTTATCAAATTAGGTAATGAGGAAGTGAATGACTGTGTGTGTGTGTGTGTGTGTGGTTTTTAAGGTCCTACCATTTTTAATTAAGAGGTGTTTCTCCAATATAGAAATACATGATTCCACAAACATAAATAATTTCTGGTAGCATTGCTCAAAATAGTAAAAATTATTAAGAACCTAAGTGCTCACAAAAGACATTTTTGTGTATGCAAGTGTGTGTGAAAGTATGTGCACACTTGTGTGGATGCTGAAGCCAGAGTTCAATGACAGACGTCTTCCTCAATCATTCTGCACCTGATGTTTTTCTTTTTTTTTTTTTTTTTGTGATAGGGTCTCTCTCTGGACTTGGAGTTCATTGCTTTGGTAGATTAGCTGGCCAGCAAACAGGATCTTCCTGTTTCTGCCTATGCAATGATGAAGATTACATCCTCATGCTGTCCTTCTGGCTTCTTATGTAGGTGCTGGGGATGGAACTCAGGTCCTCATGCTTGCACAACAAGCACTTTACTGACTCAGCCATCTCCCCAGCCCCAAAGGACAATTTAAAAATACATTTTGTGATATACTTATCATGCAGGCATTTAAAAGAATAAATAGTTCTGTACATTCCGGTGGTAGTGGGTAAGAATGCAGGTTTGAGCAGGTGTAGTAGCATAGGCGATCCCAGCTCTGGGGAGACTGAGGTAGAAAACTGTGAAGGCCAGGCTCCTCCTGGGTTATAAAAACAAAAATAAAAAAATAAAAATAAAAGCAGAATGATAGAGCTGAGTTTGTGGCCCTGTGACAAGGTGCTCTTGTAGTGTTACCTAATCAGTCAGACTCCGAATCAAGTAAGGAAAATAAAACAGATTTGGGGTACTGACAGCATAGGCCAGAGATAGAAGCCTGTTTAATATGCACCATGCCTTGGAGGCCATTCCCAACACAAAACATCATGATTCAATACAACACAAAATGGCAGAATATAACTCAACCATATGAAACCAAACCAGAAGGCACGCTCTAGTCCACTCTATGTGGACTCAGGGCTCCACTCATCATTTACTTTCTAGTCTGTGGTGCTGTGACTGTATCCCTGAATCACCCCATGCCACATAAACCCCACTTTGTGAAACTGTTGAGAGGATTATATGAATTCAATACTTTAATTCAACACCAGGAAGAATTAGTATTTTAGTAGCTATGATTACCATCAGTAATGTATTATCTGGTACAATTATAATACATAATAATATGTAATAAGAACACAAAGATCTCTGTGTATACACATGCAGGTGATTTGCACACATGGATACTGGTATTTCTTCATATGATGGACTAAGTTACTAATCTTGTCTGAAGGCTAAAATTGCCTCACTCACTAGTCTTTTACTTACATTCGGTTTTTATTTGGGATGGCTCTGAAAAGATTCACTTGAAATTCTGGAAAGTCACTTTCCCTAACCAGTCATTGTGAGGCAGACACAGGAGACTCAAGCCCCTTTCAGGCTACTTTTACTAGGTGTTGAACACTGTTAAACACTGAGGTAAGTACTGGCTCGTGATGGGTCTTTAATGTAAATACTCTTTGATGTTTTTCCCTTTTAAATAATCAAAGCTGTCACGCCTGCACTACTCACCATTTGACGGGCAACTGCCAGACTCTTCCCATGGATCCGACTGCTGTGACTAGGAAGTGTCAGTCAAGCAGTCCCTTTGAGGGGACTACAGCAGGAGTGCTGTCACGGCGGCCTGGCTGCTGTGAATATTGCATGGAAACAGGAAATTCAACTGCAGTTTTGAGGACTATTGTGACTACGGCTGCTCAAGAGGCCTCACTTTAGTTTTCCGTCTGTCCTAGACAGCTTGTACCAGCTCTTGGAGACTTCACTTCCATCATGATAACTCTCAGTAACATATCTATGACTCCTCCTATCTTGCTGCTATGCCTGCTTAGGACAAGGGTGAGCATTTTCCCTGGTGACTCAGCAAAAAGCTCGCAATTGACACACAAACCGGGCTCAGGATTGGTGAACAGGCGAAGCTGTGACTGGTGGAGCCAGATGCTGCTCCTACACGTGCCGCGCCCCCTTTTGCGTGTTAGGCTCTTGTATGCGTAGGGGTCAATTCTGAAGGCTTGTTTTCTGTGCCCTACTCCTGCATATATTAGGCCCCAATGAAAGTCTCTCTGGAGTGGCCTTTCATTTACCCATACGAGGTCTTTACTGTAGGTAGAGCGGGCTGAACTCGTTTGCGTGGAGAGAAGACCAAGCAGGAGGGTGTTCAGCCCCAGCGGTGGCACTGACAGAAGTGGCAGAGGAAGCAACCAGCAGAAGTGAGAAAGCAGAGAGCAGCCCAAAGCAGGAAACTGCAGCGAGACTCAAGGAAAGACACTGTTTAGAGCTGACTCAGGAAGTTGCAGGCCATATCCATGGAAGACCTCCAGATAGTGGGCAAGGGTTAAGAGCCGAAGAGTCCTGATAATTGAAGCTTTGGCTCTGCAACACCAGCTGCTGGGTTCTGTGCCTGGAGCAACAGCCTCTGACCTGAGATCCTCAGGCTCTAGCAAGGAGCCTCCGGCTTTGAAAGCTGCAGCTCGCTTTGACTCGAGTAATCACCTCTGTAACCTAAGCCACAGGCCTCTAGCTCTCCAGGACTGGAGCTGTGTGCCTCTGCGTGTGTAGCCTCTAACACGAAGAGCTCAGAGATGGTCACACTAAGGGGGGCTAGCCTCGCCGTTCCTTTTGAGATTTTATTTCCAGCTGATGTCTATAAATGCTTTGTCTGCACATACGTCGGCGCAGCACCTGCCTGCCTCGCCCACAGAGGTCAGAAAGTGTCACGTGGATCTGGGAATTGAACAAGGGTCCTCTGGAAGAGCAACCATGCTTTTAGACACTGAGACATTGTCTCTAGCCCTATCCTTGCCATTCTTGAACATTCAAATAGTCGGCCTTCCCGGACATTTGGAGCCTTTTAATACTGCACAGAAACGGGAAGGTTTCTATGTTATCTGACGGCTGACAAGGATTCTTTCCAGGGAGTGAGATGAAGCCATAGCGGGCGGGAGTAGACAGACATTGCTACGCTTCAGTACTGTTTACAAATACTACATTGCACACTTACTTGGGAAGAAATGACAAACCTGAAAAGGACAGAGGCTCAGTGCAGTAGCACAGATCTATAGTCAGTTTTGTGTCCCCAGAGGCAGAGGCTGGAGTCAGGGAGTCACAACATCCGTCTGGATAGCAGGGTGAGACTGAAGAGGACGGAAGTCCGTGATTTACCACACTCTGAAGCCATTAACAGAAATGATTGTTGGGTGATATAAAGTTCATCGCATTAACACAGAAAAATGCTTACGGAGGCTGGAAAACATTTACCTAGAACTTTGATCCCACTTGTGTTCGTCACCGTGGCAGTTACCTGGCCATTTAATAATATGTATTTGGCTGACAGTTTCAGAAGTTTAGTTTATGGTCCGCTTTGTTCCATCGCTGGAGGAGAGGCTGGGCATCACAGCAGGGAGCGAGGGGTCATCGAATAAGGCAGCTTCTCTCAGGGCAGGCAAACAGGAAGCAGGGAGAGAGAGAGAGAGAGAGAGAGAGAGAGAGAGAGAGAGAGAGAGAGAGAGAGAGAGAGAGAGAGAGAGACAGAGACAGAGACACAGAGAGAGAGAGACAGAGACAGAGAGACAGAGAGAGACAGAGACAGAGAGAGACAGAGACAGAGAGAGAGAGACAGAGAGAGAGAGAGACAGAGAGAGAGAGACAGAGAGAGACAGAGAGAGACAGAGAGAGAGAGAGAGAGAGAGAGAGAGAGAGAGAGAGAGAGAGAGAGAGCAGTGACAGGAAGAGACCGTGGCCACACAGTCCCTAAGGACACACCTCTAGTGACACACTTCCTTCACTTAGCCCCACCCCCTGCTTTTTCCACTGTCAGTGAAGGGGTGAAAGCATTATTAACCTGCTGGTTGGGCCAGACCCCCAGAACCCAATTAATTGTCCCAGTCTCTCGGCAAACCAAGCTCCAGGGGACTTCATACCCAAGCCCTACCAATCTCAACCATGCTATGCACGCGGCGGGCGGTGAATGTGTGTAGACACCAGGTCCCGAAGCACCAAGGCAGCGCTACCTTGATTTTTCTTTCTTTCGGGGGGCGTGACATAGATGAAGTGGCTGAACTAGGAGGGAGGACTACGATTGTTTTTTTTTTTTCACGATATTCCAAATCATTTGACTTCTTCACAAAGATAAGGTAAATTTCTTTGTAAATGTCAAATACATACAGGGAGTAATACTGTTAAAAGTCTTGGTTACCGTCTTGTACTTGCCTGTGGCACGTGCGGAACAACGTGTACTCAAATTTCAAGGCGTTATTTAGGCCCCAGGGATTCCATTTTTGGGGAATGCATGATATACATATACATATATATACATATACATATGTATATGTATATATTTTTTTCTTCCTTCTAAGAAAGGTATATTGATCTGGCACCTAATTTCTGACAGTGGAGCCATCAAGTAATCCCACAATTGGAATTCCACTTGACAACTGTACTGGGGGGGGGCTCGTGGACAAACTAAGGCTTCCTTGGGCATATTCCCCCCTTCCCTCGGCTAAGCCCAACTCAGGCTCGGAAGCAATGTAAACCAAGCGTTGGTAGCTCACACTGGAACTTTCTCAGCTACCGTGTGGTTCCCGGTCCCGCCCTGGCTCGCAGCCAGCCACCCGCGGCGTTGGGGGGGGTTGGGGGTGGGGGGTGGGGAGGTGTCTCCTTCAGGGTTGGAGCCCTCGGTGCCGGTCGCCTCTGTGCTCAAAGTTCGGGGCTGCTCCTGAGGCCTTGAGTCCTTGAGTCAGCGCGGCGGCGGCGGCGGCGAAGTTGGGCGCGAGGCGCAGGGCGGGGCTTCCTCCGCCGGCCCGAGCCTCGCGGCTCGCTCGACTTTTCCCCCCTGAGTCCACGTCTCTTCCTCTGCCCCGGGCGCGTGCTCCCTCGGCTCGGGCGGGCCAGGCCGACGTGACAGCCCGCGCCCCTCTCAACGCCGGAGCCGGGGCCCGCGCGCGCCTCTATCTCCCCCCTCCCCACTCCCCGGCGCCTCAGGGTGCCCCCCCGCCCCGGCCCGCCCTACCCGCTTCGCTGAGCCGCGGCGGCCGAGCGGCAGCATCCCGGGCTATGGAGACCGGTTCGGACTCAGGTCAGAGGCCGCGCGCCTGCGGCTGAGGGGGGCGGAAAAAAAAAAGAGAGGCTGAGGCGGGGGGCGGCCTCCCGCGTCTCCTCCGCGCCGCGCGGGGAAAAGCTCGGCGGCGGCAGGTGGGCAGGACGCGGCGCGAGCGAGCGGGCGAGCGCGGGCGAGCGCGGGCGGGGGCCGGAGAGAGGAGGAGAGGAGAAGGAGGGGGTGACGGTGTGTGTGTGTGTGTGTGTGTGTGTGTAGGGGGGAGAAGGATGGCTCAGCTCTTTCTAAATATAAGAGAAGGAGGGGGTGACGGTGTGTGTGTGTGTGTGTGTGTGTGTGTGTGTGTGTGTGTGTGTGTGTGTGTGTGTAGGGGAGAAGGATGGCTCAGCTCTTTCTAAATATAAGAGCCGGCGTGAGGCGAGCCAGCCGGGCACCGAGCCGCCGCGCGGTCACTCGGGCCGCGCGGGGCGGCAGCGGCTCCTCAAGAGGCGCGAGGCTGAGGGCGAGCGCCCGAGTCGCGAGCTCGCGCGGCGCGGGGCGGCGCGGCGGGAGCGACGCTCGCTGCGCGGAGGACGCCGGCGAGCGGGCGGGCCTCGAGGGCGCAGCGCGGCCCGCGTGAGGGACCCGAGGCGGCCCCGGGGCCCCTGCGGCACGGCGCGGCGCGGCGACGGCCGCGAGCCCCCCTCGCCGTCCGCCCGCCCGTCCGCCCCTCCCTCGCTCGCTCGCTCTCCACTCCTCCCCTCCCTCCCTTGCTCGCTCGCTCGCTCGCTCCCGGGCGCAACATGGCTGCGGCCGCCGCCTCCGCCTCCCAGGACGAGCTGAGTAAGTGCGGCGCGGAGCCTGCGGCCGCGAGCGGGGGATAAAACCGGCTCCACGCAGAGCCGGGCCCCGCGGGACCCTGGAGGCTCGCGGGGCGCGGGGCCGGGCGAGCGGGCGAGCGGCGGCCTCGGCGTGAGGGGGGCCCTGAGGCGCTGGGGCCTGGCGGGCTGGCTGGCTGGCGGGCGGGCGGGCGAACGGGCGAGCTAGCGAGCGGGCGAGCCGCCGCCGCCGCCGCTTGTAGGCCGCAGGTTTGCACTGTCACGTCGTGAAATTGAAACCAGAGCTCCGGGCAGCTGGAAATCCGCTTCGGCCCGGGGTTTGGGGGCGGGCGGGCGGGCGGGGGTGGGGTGGGGTGGCCCTGACTTGCTGCCTTTCGCCCCAGGGTCGGACGGTGCGGCGTCCGCTCGTCCCGTCTGACCCGAACCCCCCACCCCCCACCCCCATGTCCGTCCCCTGAATCTGACTGAAGGGCGAGTTGCGGACGTGGAGCTTTTGGGAAGGGGAGAAGGAACCGGCAGGAAGGTCACGGTTTTGGAGAGAGGACTCCCGGGTTGAAGCAGGAAAAGACGGGTCGTGCCGCTGCGAGTGGCAGTCATACATAAATAAATAAATAAAACCCCCGCGAGGTGACAGAGCTGTCAGAAAGGAGAGGCGGTCGCACTCTGTGCCAAGCGTTGCGATTTTTCCGGGGGGGGGGGGGGACGACCGATGATCCAGGCTCGCCGGGAGCCACGGTGGTTCACCCTTCCTTCCAGGCCGCCCAGGGTGCTGCCCAGTGTTCCACTCTATGCTTTGTGGGAAGTGTAGTTCCCGGGTGTTGTAGGCCTGCTCTGGGGAGGGGGTGGTGGTGTCATAAATATTTAATTTCGTGGGAAATGTAGAGGAATTTGTTGCGCTTTGGGTTACGGTGAGTTCAGACGCTTTACGGTATTTTGGAGCACACCTCCCCGCCTCCCCTCTTGTTGCCCTTCAGCTGAAGACTGCAGAAGAAAGGTATTATTTGGGGGGGGGGGGGGGTGATGTCTGTTTTAAATGCGAGCGAGCCTGGGTGAGGTGTTGTGACGCTAATGTTTGTGAAGCTTACGTTATTGAAAGCGTCTCAGTCGCCTTATGAAAGTCGTTAGACGTAGTTTTATGTTCCTTGGGTGCTTGGCAGTTGAAAGCTGCTTTTATGAATGTGATCTCACTTGGGCCCTCCTAACAGCGTCGTGTGGCAGGCAGGCAGGTAGGAATTATTCTGGTTTTAAAGAGGAGGCAGGCTTGGAGGGATCGAGTTCCTGGCTGCCTGACTCAGAACTGGTGGAGCAGGAGTATTGGTGGCTCTTTTGGAAGCGGAAGTAAAGCGTTTGCTATGGCCTGGGAAGAAAGGAAGACTGAGGGGACCAAGGCGAGGAAGGAAGGTCTCAGGGCTTGGAGAGAGAGAGGTAGCTGTGGACTAGGGGCCACGATGTTGAGTGCTTGCCTGTGCGTCCCCGTGGAATCACCACTTGGCATTTTGAAGAGATCGGTTCCTCACATTTATTTTTCAGTATTTTAATGCGGTAAGATACTCATCACGCAAATGGTCATCCTAGCCATCTTCGGTTGTGTGGTTCAGCGTCATTATGTGCATCTCTGTTGTGCAATCCACCACCATCCATCTTCAGGACTCCTTCACCTTGCAAAACTGAAATCCTGTATCTACTAAACAGCTCCTCATTCCCTCCTCCTGGAACCCTCTGGCAGCCACTTGCATGATTTTTGTCCCCGAACGTCACAAGTTAACACGTTTAAATGACTAAACACTGTGCTTGTCTTTGTTTTACTTCATTGAGCCTGATGTCGTCAAAGCTCATCCATGCTGTAACATCTGTCACGATTTTCTTTCTAAGATTGAGTAACGCACCCTTGTATGTAATACACTCTCTTATCTATTCATCTGTGGACAAGTTGCTTCCAAATGTTAGTTACTATGAATAATGCTGCTGTGGTCCTACTTTCAATTCTTTTGGGAATGTACCCTTAACTTTTGAGGAACTGCCTTCTTTTTTTTTTTTTTTTTTTTTTTTTTGGTGCTGGGAATCGAAACCAGGGCCTTGCCTTGTGTGTGTTAGGCAAGTGCTCCGTCACTGGTTCCACTCCCAACCTGCCGTCTGTCTTCTTGCCCGTGGCCATGCTGTCTTACATTCCCACCAACACTGCATAAAGGGTTCCACGTTTCCACATCATTGTCAGTAATTATTATTTTCGTACTGTCATGAGTGACCATTCTAAGGGATGGGAGGTGCTCTGGTTTTATATATAAAATAATATATATTTTAAAATTGACACGCCTCATGGTGTTTGAGTTTCTGTTGTAACATTAAGTACATTAAAATCCCAGTTACTGGTAGGAATAGGAACGAAGATGAGATGAAGGATTAGACAGCGTTTGAAGCCGCTCAAGTGTTTGTGTCTCTGCAGTTTGTACTTGGATATCAGGCGCTTGATAGTAAATGTTAAAGTTAGGAACAGATAGTTCACATTCTAGTTCTGTTTTCTTTGGTCAGATTATCAAATAATAGGAGAGATTAAAGACTTGACATTTGGAATAACCCAAGACCGCTGTGTATGTAAGTGCAGGTTAAGAAATTTCAAATGAGGATCTTGACATGGTGGCGCATTTTGGTAATTCCA